AAAAAAAAAAAAAAAATTGCAGAAAAAAATTGTAAAGTCGGGTAAAACCATTTGGACCTAACAAAAATTTTGACTTCACCAAAAAATCACTAATCAGGATATAGATTTTGACTTCAGCCTGCTCATATAAGTGATATCAATGGAATCCAATATAGATTAATTGCTGTTTGATGAGCTTTCAGAAAACTATTTGCTATCTTTGCTAATCCGATTGAGTTGGGCTTAGTTGTTTATAAGCCACTCGGTCTCTTGACTTGGATCAGACTTTGTTTCTTCGAACATTTTCAAACATCATAAAACACAAAGTAAACTTATCGAAGCAGCTCATCTCTTTTGGGAACAAAATTTAGAGAATTAAAGAATATAATTCTTCAAAAAAAACAAACAAACAAACAAACAAACACAAACGTTGCATATTTAACTATAATGGATACAAGAACTGTTGGTATTTTGGGTGGTGGTCAACTGGGGAGAATGATTGTTGAAGCTGCAAGCAGACTAAACATCAAAACGATTATTTTGGATGCCCCAAACTCTCCGGCAAAACAAATCAATGCCATGACCGAACACGTTAATGGGTCTTTTTCCAATCCAAAAGATATCGAAGAAATTGCTAAGAAATGCGATGTTTTAACTGTTGAAATTGAACACGTTGATGTTCCGACATTGAAAAAACTTCAAAAACAGCTTCCAAAACTTGAAATATATCCAAGTCCAGAAACAATTGAATTAATTCAAGACAAATTTGTTCAAAAGGAACATTTGATCAAGCACAGTATTCCTGTTGCTGCTTCTCAAGCTGTCAAATCCACTAAGGAAGATTTGCTAAGAATTGGGCAAGAATATGGGTTCCCATATCTTTTAAAATCTAGAACATTGGCATACGATGGTAGAGGTAATTTTGTGGTCAAGTCTCCAGCCCACATTGATGAGGCATTAGAAACATTAAAAGACAGACCACTGTACGCCGAGAAGTTTGCTCCCTTTGTCAAAGAGTTGGCTATCATGATTGTGAGAAGCATTGACGGGAAAGTGTACTCATACCCAACAGTTGAAACCATTCATCAAGACAACATCTGTCATGTTTGCTACGCTCCTGCCAGAGTTCCAGACTCTGTGCAAGCAAAAGCTCAAATCTTGGCTGAAAATGCAATCAAGTCTTTCCCAGGGTGTGGTATTTTTGGTGTTGAAATGTTTTATTTGGAAGATGGGGAATTGTTATTGAACGAAATTGCACCAAGACCTCACAACTCCGGTCACTATACCATTGATGCGTGTGTTACTTCTCAATTTGAAGCACATGTTAGAGCGGTTTTAAACTTGCCAATGCCAAAAAACTTTTCTCAGCTTTCCACCACCAATACCAATGCCATTATGCTAAATGTGCTTGGAGACAAAGAAGAGAAAAACAAAGAATTGCAAATGTGTGAAAGAGCCTTAAACACTCCATCCTGCTCCGTCTATTTGTACGGCAAAGAATCCAAACCAAACAGAAAACTGGGCCACATCAACATCATTGGTAGCTCGATGGAAGAATGCGAAAGAAAATTAGATTACATATTATCGGAAGAAACCGCATATAAAGCCATTGATAGTAAAGCTAAACCTGAAAAACCTTTAGTTGGTGTTATTATGGGGTCTGATTCTGACTTGCCAGTCATGAGTGCAGCATGCCAGGTTTTGAGTGATTTTGGCGTTCCATACGAAGTCACCATTGTTTCAGCACACAGAACGCCACACAGAATGAGCAAGTACGCCATTGAAGCTCCATCAAGAGGATTGAAGTGCATTATTGCAGGTGCAGGCGGTGCTGCTCACTTGCCAGGCATGGTTGCTGCAATGACTCCGTTGCCGGTTATCGGGGTTCCAGTCAAAGGTTCTACACTGGATGGTGTTGACTCATTGCATTCTATTGTCCAAATGCCAAGAGGCATTCCGGTTGCTACCGTTGCCATCAATAACAGTACCAATGCTGGACTATTAGCTGTCAGAATGTTGGGAACTGTGGACGCAAAATACTTGACCAAAATGCAAGAATTTTTGTTGAAGCAAGAAGAAGAAGTTTTAGTTAAGGCTGATAAGTTGGAAAATATCGGTTAYCAAGCTTACTTGGACTCTAAAAAATGAATTTTTTGTGGTTTTTTATCATAAATTTTTTTCTCTTTTCTTCAATGATCTACATAATATCAAACATCTAATTCTGCTGCACTAAATAAAAACTCAGCTTTCATTAGTACTTGTTTTTCACATTTTCACAAAACTTCTCCATGATACCCAAATTGGTATTTAAAAACCGCACTTTTTCTACCAAATCTTGCCAGTTGTCAAAAAACAAAAACATCTTTGTATTGATTTGTGAGAGATCGTAAGGAATACCATTGATTTCAATAGTTTTTTCTTGGTCAACTATTGTGATTTTGTGAACCGTTGCTTCTTCAGACCTTAAATAGTTTAAAAATTTGGTACCCATGCATTTTGCCGACTGTGGATATTGCAACCAATTCAAAGGCACGCTGTTACACGTTAACCCAAGTTTTAAAAGTTTTTGTGAATTTTGATTTGGAAGTTTTATCAACTCCAACAACTCCAAAATACTCATGAATCTTGAAAGCAGGTTCTCTGTTTCAAAACTTCTGATGAATAGTAYCATTATAATTGCTGATTTCGTACATAAGCACGACGGGTTAATTTCAATAAAGTCCTCTTGAACTGATAGCAAGTTTTCGTTAGCTAACAGGGTTAAGTATTCCAATTTCCGTTCATAAGGTTTTGTATGAACCATACTATCCAGTATACAGCATAAAAACGTCATATAAGACTCTGGATATATGCTACCGGAGATACACTCTTTCAAAGATGGATCACACTCATCTAATTGGAAAATTTCGTGTAGCTTCACTGGCTTATGCATAACAGTATCGCCATCTGGAGACGTGCTTGATTCAAGTGTTTGCTGAATGCAAGCAYTGCTCAGGGGAAGTAGCCAATCTGGAGACAAAAAATAATCAGCAAAATTGAGGGAATTTTCAAGCTTGTTCAAAGTTGCCTCATATTCACTTTCGTCATTAAAGCGTGTGTTGATTTTAAGCGTCATCCAATTATGCAAACTAATCATATTTTTAAAAGTCCACAGACCGGTGAGTAATGAGTAAACTTCCCACATCATTTGAGAAGTTGCCGATTTTGTCCACCCTTCAAACTGTCCTTTTAATCCGTAAACATGAATTCTTGCAACTTTCAAAAACTTAATACTGTCTTCAAAAAAAGTACTAATGTCTCCTTGAAGAAAAGACAATGAATCATGAGTGTCTGAACAAGTAACATTTTGCATCCAGCTCAAAAGAACTAGTAATATCGATTGTAAAGCAGYGATTTCGTTCATATTGTGCCAGTGTTTCTTTGCAGTGGCAAAAATATCTGCTGACAAACCATTCAAATCAATGCTATCTTTTTGATCCTCCTCTTTGCTTTCCGCAAAAAAACTCTTTTGAATCATAGAATCCGAGTATATCTTATCAGAAAAAAAGGGCAAAGAATGAAGAATGATCATGTGTATAAATGAGGCTTGTGTTGGAACATTCAAATCCTTCATAAACTTATCTAATGGTGGAAGGTATTGATGATAGGGATACCGATAGGTGTAAAACAATTGAATGATATTCACCAGTATATCCCACTCCGGCAAGTCGTACATTCTCAAAAGCGAATCAGAAACTCTGTATAGTTCGTATTGGATTTCTGACTTTGTATTCCATGATAGTGAATGAGAATAAAACGAAGTGGCTGAAGTTGCTGGAAGGTAAACAACGTTTTGTCTCACCGCACATAGCTCATTAATAGTCAATGTTTTGCCGTTTTTTCGATCGGAATCACTTCCCTGTTCCGATTCAAGCTTCATATTTTCAGTTTGGTCAGATATGACATTTATATTGTTAATTTCGGGGTTGAAACTACCATTCGCAACATCATTTGGAATATTAGTTTGACTAGCATTGTTTGAAGATCGTTGGCTTCCATTTTCCTGTGTACCTTCTACACTTKGAACATCAATGCCTTTGCTAGGACTGTTCTCAATTTGGCGCTGTGATTTGTGTAAATCACCAGTTGTAATATCCGAACAAGTACTTKCTTCAACAGCRTTTTGATAGTGTGCCCTCAATTGTGCTGGCAAACCTTTGTGCCAAAAAAAAGGTGGAGGCCCATGTAATGCACATCTTCTTGAAGGAGAATGTCTGCGAGGATGTCTTCTGTGAGGAGGACCGTAATCATACATGTGGCGGTGACGGCCACGATGATGAGGCGGACCCCTATGGTAAGGATGCATTGGGGAATGAGGGGAATGAGGATAGTGGAAATGCGATGGAAATGGTGGTGGTGGTGGAGGTGGATACATGTGGGTGGGATGCATATAAGGAGGATGAATGTAAGGAGGAGGAGGAGGAGGAGGAGGAGGAGGAGGGTGCATTTGCGTTCCAGGCTGTCCTGGAGGCGCAGCAGAATTTTGCGTGGCCATTGTTGATGGAGGATTATTTGAGTTCAAATATGGGTGTGGATGTTGATACATCCCATTTGTTTGAGTCATTCCATTTGTTGGATAAGGTGCATTTGCATACGGCATGTAAGAAGTTTGGCTGTTTGCACTGGTTCGAGAGTCCGTGTTTGACATGTTTGAGTTTGTATTAGATTGAGCATTTTGCAAAATCTTGGAAAAATCGTTTTGAGAAGGCATTGTTAAAAGCGGAGAATCCAAATAAGTCAATGGATTTTGTGATTGAGATGAAAAGGGCGTGCTCACTGTCTTTTGGCCTTGATTTTCCATTTCACTCAATGGGAATGGAGTTCCTGCGTGTAAATTCATCATGGGATTTAAAGATGGAAAGTTAAGAGATTCAAAGGAAGCAGTTTCTAGAGTTGAAGGTGGTCCATGATTATGCATTTGATATAAACTATCCATTAAAGGTGCAGGTTGCTCACTCATGTCGTTGCTTGGCTTTGACATTAAATCACTATCAGGAGCCTCCAAAAATTCTACTTTTGGTTTTTTCATAGAATCTTCATCAGTGGCATTTGCAGTTTTTTTTCTTCTTTTTCCTCCTCTTTTACTAGGCACAAATTCGCAAATGTCTCCAGACATTGAGCAATGGGTGCATGTTTTTGGTGCAGTACCATCACCTGGGTCTCCATCACATTTCATTTTCTTTTCTCTGCATTTTAAGCAAGCTCTTCTAGCCACTCTTGTTTTTTTAACCTTTTTATTTGCATCGTCTAGTTCCCCGTTTTTGTCATTCATGACATCAGTAACAACTCCTTCGTTATTACTAGAGGAGCTGGTTGTGACTTCTTTTTTCATATCAGAKTCTTGGAGAAACATATTGTTTGCTGCTTTTTGGATGTCTGCTATTGYTGCATACTCGTCGAGTGACATAGTGAGATTTTCAGGATTTGTGAGCGTTTGAATATCGATTTATTTTCTAACCTTGTTTTGGTGATAAAACCWGCGCARACTGAATAAGGAGCTTGTAAAGATTCTTTCTTTTGGTAGAAGCAAAAAAAACAAAAAAAACACAGGCAGTTTGATGTTTCTGGAAAGTGGAGATAACTCTGTTTCTTCAACACAGCCAAGACTTTTTTTCTTTTTTTATTTTTTTTTTCCAAAAGTCAAACACAAATATGATGTTATGTAAATACCAGTGTCTTTGTACTAAAATTTCTTAAAAACTTTGTGTTGAGACCTTGTTGAAAAACTGTTTATGGTGTTGATGTTCTATTTTTGTAACCTTTTTTGGAAAGTCTTGTGGTTCAAACTACCTGTTGGATTTCAAATTCCGGATACGCACAAGTGATTCACTCCATGAATTAACAGTATGCAAGTTTAAAATTTGGTGAAAAGACAATGGTTTCCGATGACATTCATGTGTAACTTATGTGGATATCTCTGTGTCAAAGGCCGTGATTCAAGGTGCATTTTAAATTCCGGTAATGGAGATCGTGCGTCTTTATCAAACGCCGGATGGGGGGCGGGGGGTTGTGTACTTTTTTTTTTCTTCTTTTTTCTTCTTCTTCCTTGTTCTTCTTTTTCTTTTTTCCGTTTCGAACATAAAAAAAATAAAGAGGGCTGGGTAAGCTTTTAAGATTTTTGTGTGTATGTGTGTTTTTATTTCCAAGGAATCTATTTCTTCTCCTCAGAAGTCAACATCCCAAGAGCTCCAATGGATAAGTGATCATCGAGTAACTGTGTTTTTCTTTTTCTTTTTTTTTTTTTTTTTTT